CTGGTATATTACGGCCTTGTGATGGAAGCTTTTGAAGCTCAAGAGTCCCTCAAAAGGAAAGGTACTTTACGATCTATTCCGTATTGTAAGCTCCCGTAGGACTTTGTCGTACTCGAGGGAGCTGACACATACGTTGTCTTCAGGAAGAATATCGCTTGCTCATTCCGGTTTTCCTCTGATATCAGCGCTTGCAAGCTGAATTGTTTTATTCGAAAATAGGCAACGCACAGGTCGACCACCAGCACAGAATGACGGTCTCTTGAAACGCAGCCGTAAGTAAACAGCTTAAGTTGGCAACATCTCTAGGCCTGAATAACAACTGCCATGCTCCTCCCTGTGATAGGGAAAATTTTCCGTGAAAGACCACATGAGTTGTAAGAGTCTGACAAAGCGCACCGAATGTTGGTGACTGAGATTCCTCTCTTCTATAACCAGTGACATATGGGGAACTACAGTCATTATCCCTGCAAACGAGAGGGCATAAATTAGAGTGCAGCCATGGTTCCATCTGTTGGTGCCGACTCAGGACTGCATCAGTTGGAGCAAAAGGCTCCAATCCATGCCTTGCAAGGATGGGAACTTCACGGGGAGACTATAGCACGAGAATGCAATGAATGAGGCAAGTTCTGGTGAATCTTTCAGAGCAGTGTACAGTTTCCGCCATCAAACTCTTCTCGACATAGTGTTTGAAATTTGTCCATTGATCTGTATTTTTAGAATAATGAAGTCAAGACAGAGCACTCACGTTGAGGTCGAGTTCCAGATCAGACCCAGCTGGTTCATCGAAGTTTGTCACCAATGCAGCAGGTTTCTTCTTATCAACCCGCAAGAATGAATATTTTCCAGCTTCCTGAATCATGCTCAAGAGTCAGAAAATGAGCAAGGTACCAACGAGATCTAACGAAGGCAGAGAAGCCGAAGTAGCAGTCTTGTATGATCTCGAATGAGCTTTAACAGGTCACTCACACCTCTGTGAGTTGCGAAGTTCCAGAAACATATACCAAGTACTACCAATAAGGTGAAGTGTAGGACTTCCTCAATTGGGGAGAATGGTAGGTTAAAGGGGCCAAAAAAGACGTTCACAGCTTATACGACTTCTAACATTTATTACAATTCTGGATTTCATATGTGCTGTGCATCCCTTTGTACAAATTGGAGGTATTTTGAAGAGAGGTACTGACAGTTTTGTCCGCTGCGAATACTGCAGCATTCCAGAAGTGCTGGGTTTGGTGCGACACGGCCAAGTTTACCACCACATGCGGTCGCCTGTCAACTTTTACAGCTGGTGCAAAAAGAGCTAGTGACGCGCCAAAGCCAGTGCTCCGACACGCCACATCACATGCAGGAACAATACTGGTTGGTCACAAGGGTGTTTCAGGTCGTGGCGCGCTTTTTGGAAATGGTTTGTTGCTTGTTGTAGGGGTCCATACAAGGATCACAAAAATGGGTTTCATTTTTGCTATGCGTTTCTGGGGAGGTCAAAAACTGAGTGAAAAGAATTTGACAAGAATGGGCGATTTTAACTATCTTAATGGGCTCCGCATAGTTTACGAGGTGCTCGTTAATTAGGCTCAAAAATAGTTTTAAATAAAGTCAAAATGTAAGTATCATGTAGTAACACACTTGGCATGCACCGACGCAACAGTGATGTTTTTGTCAGCGGTCCCCTCATGCTCACTGTCACCGCTGACAAAAACATCACTGTTGCGTCGGTGCATGCCAAGTGTGTTACTACATGATACTTACATTTTGACTTTATTTAAACTATTTTTGAGGCCTAATTAACGAGCACCTCATAAACTATGCATGCTCGAAGTTACAATCAGAACGGAGCCCATTAAGATAGTTAAAATCGCCCATTCTTGTCAAATTCTTTTTACTCAGTTGACCTCCACAGAAACGCATAGCAAAAATGAAACCCTTTTTTTTCATCCTTGTATGGACCCCCTACAACAAGCAAGAAACCATTTCTAAAAAGCGCGCCACAACCTGAAAGTCCTCT